AAAAATTTCTCATCCTATTGTCTAAAGATGGGCAAAGATGAAAACATTTCCATGGAAATCCCTTCTGGATATGCCCTTTGTCTGATGTTCCAGTATTGGAACTCACCTGTCTGTTAGAATGAAAACCAAAAGTGACATATTTGCTAAACTTGGTTCCTTCTAGAAATCTGTCAATAGTTGAACTTGGAAACAGCTTAATGGGTCCCATCATATTGGTATCTGAACCTCTTTAGCCTTGGCCTGAGATGGGTCCAAAAACTGCTTTTTAGATCTCCAGCTAAAACCATCACTACCTAGCTACTCTTCTACGTGAAGTTCTGTTTTGAAGCTCTCTGCTGAATTGTATTGGTTTCTTTTAACAGGAAGCAAGATGGTAAAAATGTCTAGTTTAGCCTCACAACTAACAGCTTTCTATCGTTCCTTGCTGTTGGAAAGGAGGGCAATAGAAATTATGGTTTCTCCATTCCGGTTTCCTGAGCAGTTGCAGTTCTTAGCCGTAGACACAAAAACTATGTATCGCAAGGTCTGTAGTGATTTGTGACTTAGCTAAACTAAAAAGAGTAAACTGAGATAAGAAACAGTAAGCACAAATTAATTTCAGCAGAAAGCTAGTCTTCCCTGAGCTGCAGAAGGGAAACGGGAGCTGAGCAGCGCTATGTAGCCAAGCTTCAAAGAGGACGTAAAGCTTTCCTCTGCTTTGAACAGAATAGGCAGAGCGTGAACCCTTGCTAACGTCCTTGCTCTTAATCCCTGGATATGCCACAAATTGTTTGACAAAACGGATATTTAAGATGTGATAAGAATTTGATCAAGATATTTTTGTTATATTAAGAACTAAATAGTCTGGAACTTCTGTATTGAAGGGTCTTCCTGCCAAAGTTGTGACCAATGGAGGCCACTAAACCCACCTGTAAAGAAGGAGGGGAATTTGGTGGCAGGCTGCTCTGACTTTGGAACTTGCTTCGTTGTGTAGTGCTCAGAAGTTCGAGTGTTTTAGCTTCTGGACATGCCATGAACCTGCTGTTTAGTCATTTTCAGTGGATCTCTTGCGTAAATAAGGAGGAAGATCAGAATTTTAGCCTGTAAAGTAATGTTCAAGCATGGGAAAACAGAATTCAAACTGCAAAGGAACATTTCACTCCCTATTTCCAAACTTTTAACTTCCTCAGGCTTTTCAAGACAATGCAGTAGATCTGTATAAGCAATCTGGTAAGTAGTTCCACTCATCTTGAGGGGAGGTTTTTTGTGTGCTTGCTTTATTTAGCATTGTGATGAAGTAGGAGATGAATCAGGTCAAGGTGACCCGTTCTCTGGACTGGAGCAGCTTTATCATGTTCTCCTTGAGCATGGCTAGAAACAGTACTCTGCAGCTTACTCAGAAAATATGCCATGCAGCACCTTTGGAATCAACATCTAGTCTTTGAATGAGAACGGTACTTCTAGAACACTTTATGACCTCGGACGTGTAAAAAAATATCCTTAGGTTGTCAATTGGAATGTCAGTATTGGAGATGTCAACTGAAAAATCTCTACCTCTTTAGGCAGTTGATTGTTGCCCACTGAAGAGTGATTTATAACAAAAATTACTAAGAAATAATGGTGCTTTCTCCTTTTAACTGATCTCATTTGTGTTGATGAGAACTGTGCTACACAGTCATTTTGAAGTTGTCGTTGACCAGAGTTTTGTGGTTAGGGTAACATATCTGAGTGAAGAAAGTTTTCCCAGTGATCATATATGTTTGACGCATATGGGTGGGTTTTTTCATCCCTTGTTTATTGAATTAGTAAAATTATTAAATATTACAAAATTTCCAGTAAATTTGCAGCCTTCTTTCAAATCAACATGTTAACTGCTTAGTTGGAGGGCTGTGGTATCTTTAGTACACTTGTGATGCTTGCAGTGTATTTTAGATATATTTAATAATGAAGACAAAAGATTTTGATAAAGTAAAAGTTTGTACTTGATCCAGTGTTCATTGACATTGGCAGGTATAATTAACATTATTACTACTGTCAGTTTGCAACACCCAGGAGCTGCTACTGTAGCTACTTTTTCTATAACTGATTTAAATTCTTTTGATATCTGTAAGTAATGGTTGGAGATGCTCTCTACCTTTCAAATTCAGCTGAAGGAAACATAATAGCAGTGCCTGAAATATTACTTTCCTATAGTAGTTAGTGTGAATTAATTGAAGTTCACATACACATAGAATTGAAAATGGCTCCTGATTCTCTCCAAAAAAATGGCAAATAGAGCAAATATTAGTCATCTTAGTTGACCTGAATATTACATTTTTCATTACATGAAAGTGGTGTTTGCAAAAGTCTACCTACTGTGAATTCAGGAGTCCGTGAATATACTGAAGGATCACTGCTAACTAGGTTGTAATTTCTTGACACTTGTGGTACGTTATCACTCGTGGTTACTGACAGAAAAGTCAGTTACTGACATCCAATAATGCAGGGCTGCAAGGGACACTGCTTCTCTTTTGTATATTCAGTTCTGAGCAGCTGGTTCACATCAGTGTGAAGGACTCGGACTTCGAAGCATGCGATACACTCTTAGATTATTCAGGAGTTATAGTGTGTTTATTACAAACAGCTTTGGGGGTTCTTAGGCTGGTCAGACAGGTGAATCATTCATGCAGATGGGAAAAGGTCCCTTTTGGATCCTGTGCTTAGCCTGCTGTTAAAATTCAAATTCTTTTAAATCATGGAATAGTTGTAGTTATAAAACATTTCCTAATTTATGCTGAATGTTGCCAAACTACTTTGATTATCCTCCTCATTGTAGGCTTTATCTTTACTGAGCCAACTTTCAAAAAGTAATTCAGCTTCTGTGGTTGATGTGTTGGGGCTGATGATCTCAAAGGTCTTTTCCAACCTAAACTATTCTATAATCCTTGCTTGTTTTCAAGGTTTTCTAACATTGTCAAAGGATTATAATGAAAGCCTTGGGAGCCTTAATGTTAGCGCCATGTCTACTCTACTTAAAACCCACAAATGTCTGAATATAACAGGCTAAGGTTTGAACACTGCTAATGTGCTTTGTCTGCTGTTTCTGGTTTTGTTGGAAAAGCAGATGTAGAATCTATTTGATAGCTGAGATAGGGTTGAAGCTGAAACTTTCACAACCATACTTTCTAACAGCAACTGTAGCTGTAAAGATGATGATTTTGCATTTAGAAAAACTTGTGGGTTTGCTTTCCTTGACTTCATCTAAACTATTTTTGTTGAGTTGAAATTGCTTGTGCTAAATTATGCAGTAAACATAAATAAGTAGGGGTTAAAGGATTACAAAGTGCAATTTCAAAGAAGATTTTTTAGTAGAGTCTTTTTCTACACAGTTGCTCAGGAATGTGAGACAACTGAGAATGCAGAATAAAAAAAACCCTGTAACCCGTAACTTCATCAAGATAACGAATTCTCAGATTTCTAATAACCCATTTTAGATTTCAACAGATTTTGCACTGTAGAAATTATTCAAAACAAAAACAATTTCTCCTTCTTCCCTCTTCTTGTCCTGTCCTTTGTTGCTCTTTGTTTTCAAAGTTAGTTTACTCATTCTTTAGGCGTGCTTTCAAATAGCGTCCTTTGGATTTCTCCTGGTAGGGAGTTTTTTCATCCTGTGTTTGTTTTTAGATATCCTTTTTTTCGTTACTTTCTTGAATGAATTCTGTTTCTAACTGCTTCCAAGAATAAAGTGTCATCAACATTCAAATCCCAACATGTTGTTCAACTTGTTCATTAGACTTTCACAACTCTGGTTGTTGGAAGAACCCCCACTGCTCCTTCAGGTGCTTCGAACTGAGTAGCCCTGACCTTTTTTCCACACTCAAATAACCTCAAATGTTTGTTACTGTATCAAAAATACTAAATGAATATGTGATTTCATTGCAAGTACAGAAAAAATTTCTAAGGAACCACGTCTCCTTAGTATAATGATGAAAAGTTAGTCTAAAATACTTTTTGATGTTGTCTGCAAGGTGCCAACTGGTTTCAGTAGTCATAAGTGATGTGAAAGAAAGTGGCACTGCAGGAACAAGAACAGTGCTGAGAGAATGTACCCCAAACTGAATCCCTTTAGTGTTATTTTTGGCTTTCTGCTTGCGTACTTGATGGTCAAAAAGCGAAGCCCAACTAGGTTCCCTGTAAAAGCTGTTTTCCAGCTCAGTGCTGCATAAAACTAGATAAAACCCATCCTGAAAACTTGTGCATATTTGGCATTACTTCTGGTGTAAAATATATACAGGCTGATGTCAAAAAGTCCAAAGTCCAATATTAAATTGCTAGGTGTTATTCTAAAAAAGCTAGTATGTTACCTAGCACAATTAATGTTATTAAAAAGCAAAATGGAAAACAAACAAAAAACCCCAAAAAACCACCCCCACCAAACAATAAAAACAGCAGCAAATGTAAACATAGTTATGTTGGGAATAAAAACGTTTGTGATGTACATCGTCATGTGAGTGAATTGTCCGGTGCCTTAATCTAAGCTACCTGCTTTCAGACCAGGAGCTGGCCTAACGTATCACTTTAAAATGTGTTCTTAATTGCGATACTTAGACAGAAGTTCTCTGTTAAGCAGGTCTTACTCTGTCGTGCTCAGAACTGATAGCCACATACAGATGGAGTTAAGCTTCATCTCCCTTATGTCCAAATTTGCCTCCAGATGTTTTTTCCATGCAGAAGATATGTCTGGATGGCGTTTGAAGATTTTTCTACACATGTCTGAGGATGCATCATGTATATTTTGTACAAACTGCTCTTGAAGTACATGAGGTGTGTGCCTGAGACAGCTTGGTCAGCTGTGTACAATAAATCAGTGCTCAACCGCATTGATTTCACTGGATATTCACAGGTTGTGTCTGTTCAGTGGGCTCAGTGCTTCCAAGTTCAAGGCAAAAACAATCTACAGTTCTATCAAAACTACCAAATGTTTTGGTTGTAAACCATCAATATCCCAATTGCCC